CCCCTGTTCAAGCAGGAGACCCCATACAATTTCCAGTCTCTTCCTAAAACCTTCCAGTGTCGGAGCATCCACACCTTCTGGAGGGAAGCCCTTCTTCCGCTGGTTAATGGTTGCCAGACTGCTTCCCTCCCGGATGAGTTTCCACCCGTTGCTTCTTGCCCCGCCCTCCTCAGGGGCCCTGCAGAATAGCTGGACGGCCTCTTTTGGGGGGCAGCCCCTGAGATGCTGGAAGGCGGCTGTCATGGCCCCGCTAGTCCTTCTTCTCTTAGTTCCTCGTTCTTCCTCGGTTTCAGCCTCCAGGCCCTCAGGATCCTGGCTGCTCTTCCCTGCCCCCTTTCCAGAGTCTCCACATCTTTTGGACGTTATGGTTCTCGGAGTAGCCCTTGGAGCATCTCCCTTGGGAAGCGCCTCGAAGGGCCCAGAAACGGAGGCCCTTCCCTCTCGGTCCAGAGCGGTGGATGGCCAAACCGAGCCCTGGACTTCCTCGCCATGTTTGGCCCAGGAGGGGGCAGCTGGTGGCAGCCGGGCCAGAGGGCGCTGGGCAGGAGGGTGAAGCCGCTCTGTCTCTCTTCCAGGGCTGGCCACGACTCTGATGGAGGCCACGGGCGACAAGGATCCCCTCGTCCAGGAGCAGATCTTCAGCGCCCTCTGTGCTTTGGGCCAGGCGGAGCCCGAGGAGGTCTTGAACGCTTGCGAGGAGTACCTGCGGCAGCACGAGAAGGTGGGGCTCCCTCGGAAGGCTGGTGCTGGGGGGACATTCGGCCCGGAGGGGCGGAAGGCTCCTTCGGGCTCCAGGGAGCCGGTGCCGGGCGCAGGTTGGGGCTGCCTCACCTCTGCCGCCCCCCCCCCTTCTTCCCAGCTGGCCCACCCCCACCGGGTCATTCTCCTGAGGGCCATGGAAGCCGTGGTGAAGAGCAGCCTGGCTCAGCTGGACAAGAGCACGGCCAAGATCGTCATCTTCTTGGCCTCCAGCGAGATGACCAAGTCTAAGGTCAGCCTGGGGGCTGCCTGGGGGGGCAGGTAGCTGAAGGGCTGGGGGCCGCTTTGGCCTTCCCACCTGGAGGCCCGGAGGGGGAGGGGCAGGGCCTGTCAGGGGGTCCTGGGCCTCTTTTGGGCCTCCTGGCCTGGGTTGCTGCTCCGCTGGGTCGCCTGCTTCCCTGGGGGAGGACAGGGGATGTGAGGGGGAGCTCAGGCCGAGCTGCTGGTCTTGGGCCTAGGAGGCTTTTCCAGAGTGGCAGCAAGCCGCCAGCACCGTCCTGGTCGCCGTGGGGAGGCGTTTCATCAACCAGGTGATGGAGGAGATGCTGACCAAGTTCCAGCCAGGGGTCTTACCCCACTGCTTCGTGGTGCTGACCTTCGCCAACCTCTCGGTGACCAATGGTGGGTGTGCCCTCTTTGCCCTCGGGGGGGGGGGGGGCC